GGAGAGATAGTTCAATGTTTAGAGAACTTGTTTGACATGATTGTCAATAATTATATTTCGATTAATTAATTATTCTTCAGATTGCGTATTATATAAGTATATAAGTATTACCATTTTATAATGTCGAAAAGAGCTTGTAAAATATAAAACATAAAAAATATGGAAAATGTTTAAGTATATCTCAAGTGTAAAGCCAACACAAAGCTTAACTTATATGTGAAAACATTTTTAGCTAAATCTCAAACAAAGTGAACTTTTATGTCAATAAATTTGATGCTATGTCAGCTAATTGTAGATCCCCTATTAAAGCCAATCGGAAATATGTTATAGCCGAAAAGAGAGCGAGAGAGGTGATTAACTTATGTAATTACACTTATATAAACATTATGAGATTGTTTAATTTCAAACGTGATTAACCTTGGCTACAACTACCTTGGTAACAACAGCTTGATGTAATTGCGACATGAATCTTTCTCGCAAGAGAACTTCTTACATAATGCGAATTGCACTATGTACATACACATATAATGGAATAAGTTTAGGTTCGTGTGAGCTTTGCACCTTTTACCGATCAAAGCCATCTTGCTTAATTGCAGTGTAAGTCCGTAGAAATCAAACGCCTAAGCTGGTTTTTTCAATTGAAAATGAGTTAGTGCAATTGCTAATCAGTGAGAGAGGCAGAGAGAAACAAAATCTGAAGCCAGCCACTCGGAGGTCAGCTCCATTCGCGTTGGCTTTGAGTCGGTTTGCCAGCTCTGCTGTGAATAGTTGATTTAGCGCAATTCAATCGCTGAGCTCAATCAAGCTCTAGTATCAGCTCCGGAATTGTGGTTAGCTGCAATCACCCATCGATGACGTCACATGCGCTGCTGTCGCTGACACTGCTGCTGGCGGCCGCCCAGCTGAGGGCACAGCAGATTGAAACAAACAGCGCGAGTAGTGAGTAGATCAGCCTGGGAATATGCAGTCATACAACTCTTATCCAATTAGCAGAGGTCTACTTCGGAAACTGCAATACGGAGAACTACGGCTCCGGACGTTGTGTCTACAGCAGCAATTGTGATTTCTACGATGTGAACTTGCTAAAGGCGGTTGTCAAAAGTGTTTGTCGCTCACAGCAGCGCCCTGAGTTGGTGAGTTCAGTGTCGAGAGAGACAGACAGCGGAAGGCAGAAACTAGTAGCATCTATGTAATATACATGATATGGCTAGGTCGATAAAAATTAGTCAACACAACACTACAAGGACAAAAGTGAATATCCGATGGATAGTGGGGGGAAGGATAGGAAGAGAGACATCAATTCACTTGACTGACAGCAAGAAGAAGAAACGAGTAAACGTATGAATGTAATTGCTGATATGTGGATGGCTCGAACTAGAATTGGAAAATATGAATATCAGCCTTTATTGTAGAGATGGATTAGTCGAGTCCATTGGTGATAATCAGATCACAAAAATAACACACTGCAGCTGTGACAGCTAGAGTTATTGAGGGTTATCTATAGACACAACGAACTGCCGAAACAAACTGGCGAGCTAAGCCACTTTTAATCACTGTCAACAGGCTATACCTAGTATGCGATCTATGGCAGATACAGAGGGTCCACACAGCAAAAGCTTGATGTGATGGGCAAGCCCGCATTGGCAAGGTCAAGGCCATTCACACCCGATTTGATCTATCCCTTGCAGATTTGTTGTCCACGTGAGCAAAGCGTGTTGCCTTTGCTGGCGGGTCGCTCGCAAAAGAACTCATCAGCCGTGGAACAGGGAAGGACCTTCCCAGCTGCACCCGCCACGCCCGATGAACTGCCCAGGCACCCGCATTGCGGCACCTCATTTGCATTCAAGGTGTACGGCGGCCACATAACGGGTCTTCTGGAGTTTCCCTGGACCACGCTGCTGGAGTATACAGTGATCGCCGGCGGACAGAAGCAGCACAGCTGCGGCGCCTCGTTCATCGCTCAGCGCTGGCTGCTCACCGCAGCGCACTGCGTGCACCAGAGCTTCGTGGGCGCCCATCGAAGACTGACCGGCGCCCGGCTGGGCGAGTGGAACAAGACTAGCGACCCGGACTGCCTAACGGCCTGGAACGGGCAGCGAGAGTGTGCGCCGCGCCACATCCAAGCAAGCATCGATCGGCAGCTGGTGCATCCGCAGTTCGACGTGGCCAACTTGACCCACGACATCGCACTGCTGCGTCTCGCACAGCCCGTCGACTGGAGCCAGCTGCCGCACGTGGAGCCAGTGTGTCTGCCGCCCGTGCGAGGCTCGCGCGCCGATCAGCTGGTGGGCAGCGCTGTGGACGTCTCCGGCTGGGGTCTGACCGAGCACGACAACAAGCCGAGCGAGGTCAAGCTCAAGGCCGTGCTCTACGTGCAGCCGCAGGAGCAGTGCCGCACGTCCTTGCGCAAACACGACTACACGCTCTCCGAAGGCCAGTTCTGCGCCTCGGGCGGCATTCACGTCGACTCCTGCTCCGGCGACTCGGGCGGTCCGCTCACCGTCGAGGCCTACTCGCCCCAGAGGGACCGCTTCGTCTACCAGGCCGGCATCGTATCCTATGGCAAAAGGTACTGCGGAGTGTCCGACTTCCCAGGCGTCTACACCAGAGTCAGCAGCTACGTCGACTGGATCGAGCACACCATTGAGAGCAACAGCGATGCTGCAGCAAAAGCGGGCCCATAGGTGATAGTTGATCCGATTATTATACTAATATATACTAATAGATACATAGTAATTTACTATTCTCATCAGCTCAATTCTGTTTACCGATACTCGTTCATAGCATGCACATTGACTTGACCTAATATACAATTTTCGATATTTGATTTCTTGAACGAGCATTGCATAAGCAGTTACAGCCGACTAAAATATTCCTTATATATTTTCAGCATGTTTCGACATTCTATAGAGATAATATTCGATCGAATTATCAATTCACAATTTATTCTAAATACAAGACTTATATGAACTACAAAAGCCAATTGGTACACACTTTTGTATACCCACTAGCACTTGCAAAGTCGGCTATACCCGACAATAATATTTGTTATATATTTTCCACACTTTCAAGATTCACAAGTTTTGTTTTCTTATTGTCCCAAGTTCTCACTATTTTGTGCATACAAGAATTCTACGTATTTTCGACAGATTTATTAGTGCCAGCTGCAGTTTTCATATATCCAGACACGCACGTGTACATTTGTGAATGTATAACATTTCGATAATTTGAATATGCAAATTTGATGCCTCAATATCATAGGCAAACGCATTAAGTAAGCTCTTATATAATCATTTTCAATGAGTTTAGTCAAAATTATGTCACCAACAGAAAACGAACCTAAAACGCGACTAAAAATGGACACATTTTAATTTCTGCGCATTGCCGTTTGTCACGATTGATAGATCTAGAGATTGCGTAAAACACACACGACAGAGTGTAATTAACAGGATTGTGACGTCATTAACTCGATTTACGGTCTACGGTCTGCGTTTTGTTAATATAATTCTACAAACTCCCTATAGCAACTGCGAATCGCCTATTCCCTTAATTATGAGCATATATTGATTGTCACGCAGAGAAAACATTTACGGTTCGATCTTATCGGGCGACTTTATTAAATTTTTCAATTTGAATAGTTTTTGCTCTAAAAGCATTGACTGAAATTAGTTTTCCGGTTTGTGGAACACCTTAAATGTCGATAAGCCCTTGGCTAAACACCTTTTTCTGTGTGGGGTCATTCCGTAGATAACACCCCAAGACAAATACCATAAATTTTATAAAGATATTGTTGAATTCGTGTATAAACGAAAATAAGTTAAAGCCCTGGGAATTCAAAGTTTTTGTTTCCATTTAATCATTTCCTTTCTCCAGCTGACTTTATTGAGTTAACTGCTCTCCGTTGCTACGCCATCGATAAGATCGATCCCCTTGCCCCTTGCAAATTCAATAGTCGATCAATACGAGTCTTTGTCTTAGAAGAAAGAACAGCCTTAAATTAAATACTATGCCTATGACTTAGATACGAGCTGCGGACATTCAGCAAAGGGAAAGAACAAACAAATCATCAGTTGATTGGCTGAAAACTGAAGATTATTCAATTTAATGGAAAGTTTTGATGACATCAGCGAGCTGCCAATCATTGTAGGGTAATACCTCGCAGCCAAACATACGACAGCTTCAAGTCACTCCCAGCACTGTTCATAAAACATATACATGGGCTTTTATTATCATTACCCATTCATCATGAGCTAATAGAGGGTATACTGGACACAAGCATGCACGCGGATAAAATAAAGAAAGCACTGTTAATCAGGGTAATGAGCCGAGTAGTTGTCTAAGCGTCGCTGGCTAGTGTTTGGTCCACTCAGATCATGATTACATCCCATCGACAATAGCTTCACTTGTCTTTCAGAAAATTAAGAAATACTGCAAACTGCGCGTTGGATCATAGTTGGATTTTTATTGTTTCAGTACCTCTTGTTAAATTTACAGAGATCTATTTTGTAGGAGCTTCACTTAATTTACAGATATTTTTAGAATCTTGATCTAAGGGAGATGAGGCGGAATGATTAAGTTTTCACATATATCGACAGCGACTTCCAGATAAGAGAGATGTGTCTTTGGTTAAGATTACACTATCTTCAAGCCTTAACATTGGCAAACACTCGTAGTCTCGCATCTCTAATCGAAGCACAAATATCACTGTTCACAATCTTGTATAGAATACTTGTATAGTCGAATATAGTCCGGAAAAGTGCATATCTTTATGAGGTATAGGTATCGTTTATTTGTCTACATGTTCGTTACATGCATTACACAGCTTACAACTGTTAATACTACTGCGTGGATGTGCATAAATTACAATAATCAATAAATACTAAAAACAAACATAGTATAAATACTACAGTACAATTATAATAAATTAAATCGTAAGTGCCTAGCGAATACAAAAAAAAAAATTATAATAATAACCCGAAGAAGACGACTCTTCCCTGTCCCACTCACTTCACTTGTTTCGCGCAAAGATCACGGCGCGCCGACAGCGATCGCGATGATCGCGCATTTTACCCGCCGGACAGGGTCGCTTGACCCGACTGGAGATGAGCAGCTGGCCGGTTAGCGTCTTGCTGCGCGGACTGTAGAAGATAAGGCGACGCGCCTCTGTCGATTGGCTGCACTGGCCTAGCAGCAATATGAGAACACATCCCACGGCGAGAATCAGGCGTTGCAGCTGCATGTTGATCGGCGGATTGGCGAGATGGCAGAGTTCACTTGGTTTGGTTTTGGCTTTGGCTATTTCTTTGGCTTTGGCTTTGCTTATTTTCGTTGTTTGTTCGGACCGGGCGTGCGAGATTCTTTCGACGCTGGACTGACTACGACTGCGTACGATCGTCGATGTTGTGGCTGTAGTCGTAATTGTAGTCGACGCTGCCCTGTCGATGTTTTCAATACTTAATGCGCCGCTGTCAGATTAGATAAGGGCATTCCACACGATCCGCTCGCTGATAAGATACGCGATAGGCATGGGCTGGCGAGCTCCTCTACATACCAGCAAGTGGAAACCACATTTGTTGCCCCTGGACTGTAACTGGCAGCGGCCAGTCGCTTCTATTTTTGTATCTTAGTAATGGGCAGCCGCCTGCCACTCACAACAGCACACACAGTCTGTGACGAAAGCGTGCGGGAATTCACTCGGCGAATTCCACGACAATGCGTTGCGCTGCGTCCACAAATCGGTTACGTCATGGTCCGTGACATCAAACTTCCGGCCATATTCCTACCAAATTATTCGCAATTGCAGCTCACGCCTGAAAATATACTGCAAAACTTGCCAATCGAAAGCTTTGCTAGCGCCAGCCCCTCCCCGTCAGTTTCGTTTCTGCTATGTGTAACCAGAAATATGCTTATCAGATCTAAGGCTGGCTATCAACTGGAACAAGCCTAAGTAGAATGGTATAACAAAAAAGATTGCAATAGATCGCAGCCTGAATTAAATGCTAAATAATGAATACAAATTGTTAAAAGTGATCTCATTATATAACGGACGTGTTTAATTACACCCATGTAGAATAAAACAGATCTCTGTTTAGATACCAATTATTATATATAGAATAGAACTGCTTAGATACTTAATACGAGATCCTAAAATACTAAGTAAACCCTTAGATCTTCTGTTTATATTGTAACAACAAAAAGTAGGAACGTTGCAGTCGGGCGTTACCGATTGCAGAATACGCATTCGCAGCCCAAGTGCTGTCAACCCGAGCATGAATATTGAGAATATTGAGAAATCATTTATATTTAGTACATCTTTGCAAATAAGATCTTTAAATTACAAGTATAATTTACATAATTTTAATTTTTTTAATATTTTGGATACCGGCTGCAAGCTAATTAAAGATTAGTTCGATTTCCCCATACATGTGCCCACATTCACCGTTTATTCTATGCGTACAGACAGAAACGTTCTAGCATATTCTAAGAATTGCCATTGATTTCTGGATTTTCTAGTTGTTACTATAGTTTTGTCAGATGACTCTCTGTTGTGAAGTTATTCTATTTTAGCTACTAGCTGGTCAAGCAAAGTAGTGGCGGCGATGTTTACGACGACGCAAGTCGCGTTAGATAACGAGGGCTCAAAACCTCTTCGGTGTTATATGTTTTTCATATCTGTTTTTATACCCTGAACTCATTTTCAATGGGAAATCTGAGTTGAGTCTGCCTGTCCGTCCGTCCGTCCGTCGGTCTGTCCGTCTGTCAGTATTGTTGAACGCGTCGATTTCAGAAGATATAAGCGCTAGAGACCTCAATTTTTTTGTAAAATGTCTGTGTATACCACGCGGATATCGAGCTTTGCGTTAAAAATCGATAACTTGTTCTGTTATTTTGTTATCGATGAAAAACATTATCGAAGAATAGTAATAAATTTATATCTGGTACATCTTTAACGATAGAGTCGCCAAAATTTTAATGTAGATTCTTATGTACTTTATAGAATTTCGATTTTTGGTAAAATAAAAATAACAAGTAAGAAAGCTCTAGTCGAGACTACTCGACTACGAGATCCCCTGAACCCTTGGAGTAATAGCTATTTCAATAATTTTTCGCGTCTATCAGCTTACACAAGAAACACGCACACACACACACACACACACACACACACACACACACACACGCACGCACGCACNTCGATAACTCATCCCGATCTTTTTTTATCGATAAAAAACCTTATCGAAAACCAGTTATAAAATTATATCTTCTACACCTTTATTGCTAGAGTCTCCAAATTTTTAATGTATGCTTATATGCAATTTATACAATTTCGGTTTTTGTTAAAATTTACCCCCCACCCTTAAATTCACCCCCTCACCCTCACTTTTGTAAAAAGCGTATTTCAAATACTAGAGACTTGTGCTTTGGCAATTACATGCATATCCATGTTATAATCATAATCTGAAAGTTTCATGAAGATCGTACGTCCATAAAAAAAGTTATTAAACAATTAAGTTCTCATAGTAAGCGCACACTGCAGCCCATGCGTGTTTATGCGTGGGTGCATGTGTGTGTATGTGTTTGTGTATGTGTGTGTGTTTCTTGTGTAAGCTGAAAGRCRSGAAAAWTKATTRAAATAGCTAGCACTCCAAGGGTTCAGGGGATCTCGTAGTCGAGCAGTCTCGACTAGAGCTTTCTTACTTGTTTTTATATAAGGTTAGCCAAACGACGTTCATCTATCCTTCTCTCCACTGGTGCGGTTCAATGTCTTTTTACTTCCACGCAAAATATAGCTAATTCCCATGTAAACAAAGAGCTTACTGGTACCACTTAAATACAAAGGCTTTTTCCGACCGACTTCTTCAATACGATGTAAGCTATCGTGGCTCGAATTGATATGGTCGGTAAGGTGTAATACGTACATAATTAGCCATGAAGATATCTTCAAAAATGTAAAGTGGGGCATGGGGATCTTTAGATATAATCCGTATTTAAGTCAGCTCTAACAAAAGGGATATTGCTTGGTCTAGTTTTTGTTTATCAGAAAAGCTTTGATTTGACTTGGTGAAAATATTCAAAGTCGGCTGTTTTATAGTTTCTGATAGAGTTGATTTAGATGGCTGTCGAGATAATATGTTCTCTTCTCCGGAAGAAATCAAAAGAAATCTTTTCCGAAGACCACTGATTGAACTATGAACTTTATGATCACCTCCCTAAATTTAAGCCCGACTATAAGTTACCCTGACACAGATCTGATCTTGGAATCATGTTCAGCTTCATGCATGAATGTATGCCAGGAAACTATACTGAAATGAGCAAATATTAAAAACCTCTAATATTCAAAATTTTTGATTCATCACAGGACTCTACAGTACTCGAAGCGGCACAAATTTTTTTTTTTGAAATTGTAATGCTCTAGCTATTTTTGGTTTTTGAGACTTTCGCATCAATACGGATGGATGTCTTTTTGGATGGCTAGATATTCTACAATATGTATACAGTTTATGTGATCTGCCACAAATGCCTGTTACAAAGATTTCCACAATACCACTACATTCCTAATACCCATTTTCAATCATGCTTAGAGAATAAAAATCGCCACGAAAAATAAGTTTTTTTTTTTTTTTTTAATGGATAACCATTTTTTGTGTTATTTAAATTCCATTAATAAAATGTAATGTTGTCACATGGTAAGTACATATATCATTAGAAGCTATTTAAGTAATAAGCAAAAAAAAAACAAAAAAAACAAAAAAACTGTTAGACATCCATAAAACTGTCTTTGGGGTAGGTAAACGTAGGGTGTGAAAGTAATGTAATAAATAGTGCACTGAACGCGAATAAATAGATTTTGATGACGTTTATGTTTAGTTTCTGAGAGAGTTGGAGATTCAGTTGATAGCGCTCGACGATATCCGGTCGCGATGTCAACAGTGCGAGCCATCTGAAAGAGGCAAAAGCAGAGAGTTGAGCACACTCGAGATAAGACACTGGGCCATTGGCCTGGGCCTCAATACACACCTGAACTGTACGATATTAGACGCCGACAGTTGCCCCGATGGTCTCTCATGTGGCACTTCTGGCAGGGCTTCTCCAGGCCGTGCGTGGCCAGTATCTGGCCCCGGGCGATGCCGGGTGGCGCGAAGAAGATCACACGGCGCGATTCACTTGGTGCTGGAGCACACAACACGACCACGAAGAGTAGACACAGCGCGTACAGAAGCAATTGATGGATGCGATGCAGCATCATGATATCGTTCTCTCTTTACTGATGGCTCTCTAGCTCTCTCTCTCTCTATCAATTTTGATCACTCTCTCGTGACAATGCACTCACTCCCTTTTGCTTTCTGTGTTCAACTCTTGTTCTCTCTCTCTCTCTCACTGTATTTCTCTCTATCTCTCTCTCGTTGGTTGCACTTTCGTGAGAATGTGAAATTGTGTAATCGCTATTGGGGGCTGGAGCTCTAGTAGGCCTGGTCTGGTAGCAACCGAGTTATACGCTCCAACGCCGTCAATTAACTGATTATATACGATTTGGGCAAGCAGTTCTTAAGTAAAAGTGGCCTCTGCCTGCCAGCCGAGCATTGGCGTCGTCTTCGACTCCGTCTCCGTCTCCGTATCCGTCTCTGTCTTGATAAACTATACAGGCTACACCACTGACTGAGTGACTGTGGGCAGCACCCTGTATGGGCGAATCTTATCTGAGAGCCGCTACTATGTCATTCGCAATCTGGGTAATTGAATGTCTTGCTTTGCTTTACTTTGCTTTGCCTTGCTTTACGTACTTAACAAATATTCAACGTGACATTAAAATCAGCGCGCGAAGCCCAACTCCAGTTTAGATATCGGTACAAAGAAACGAAGCTTATCATTAGAATTAATTGATATATTGCACGGAACGTGCGGCAGCGCTTCTAAATATAAAACCATTTGGCATCGCTCCAATCGAGCAGATCCTCGAAAATAGTATATGAGCTAATACCTATTTTTTAGTAAGAGCTTCTATCCACTTGTAGATCGCAAGAGAAGAAGGAGAAGCCAGAGTGCCGAAGATGCAATACCCTGCACCTTAGACTCTATCACGTGAGTTAAAAAGCAGATATGTATTCAGATCAAATAGGAATTCACATCTATATTCCGAGTGTAATTTTTTTTTTCCTAAAATTCGTAAAATTCCAATATTTTTGTTAAATTAAAATTGTAATGCCATTTCGTGTTATATGAAATTGAATATACAGATGAAAAATACTTTGTTAATTGCAAGTAATTACTTTAATTAAATTTTGTATATATTAATTAAACTCTTAAGTAAAGTCGTATTTGAACTAAATATAAATACCATTTACCGTTTGAGTTTAGCATATAGTTAAAGTCCGAAAAGCATTGCAACGTATTGCTTATTAGTCAATACGAATTCGATCACCTGTCGCCCAGAACATATGTATAAACATATATAAGATAGCGATAGATGATAGCGATGAGCGCAGTATTGATGAATGAAATTTTATTGGTATAGTATGTGTTTAATTGTCTGTGAATAATGTCAACTATAAATATATATATTTTATCTAGATTGTTTAGAATCGTTAATATAAGTTGCAAAATTTCTTGCTTGAGCCTTGGGCTGTCGACTTCAAGATACCCTGCAGAAGATACAAAGATTGCGGCGGCTCTTAAATAGAAACGATAATTATGGCAATGCGACAACATTTCAATCAGCCCATTCAGCGTTTCCATTGGATACTTAAAAAAGCTAATTTCTATTCCATTGTGTCTCTAAAGACATTTATTGAAAATAAAAAATCTCGCAATTTTACCAAGAAGTAAGCAGAAGTAATTGATTAAATTTTAATTTAATTTATTGAGCAAAGTAATTGAGTATAATATTATGAAAGATAAACTACAAAATTCACGAAAAACAATGTGCATAATTATAAGTATAGAAATGTAATTTTTGTTGAAAATATAATCGCTTATGTAGAGAAATCATTATCAATTAAGTTTCGGGGCTGTAAATTTGAAGGGCGAAAATTGAAATATATGTGAATGTAATGTAATAAACTAATTGGCTATGTTTACTTATAATATTGCAGGAAAAACGTATTCACATTTATGGAAAAATTGCTTAACATTAAAGAGCGCCATGCTAGTCTAGGGTATTCGTTAGACGACTAATTCCAACTAGCTTACATTAACTTGTTTTTGTTTCCGATCGGCTGACCAGTCAACAGACAGCAAGTTAAGCAGCAATCAGCACTTGGAGATATGTTTTCCACATAACCATATATGTATGAACCTTATACAATGTAAAGCAGAGTGAGCGAACTGAGCTATATTAGAGGGGATCATCGCTGGCAGACGTTCACGATTTATTGGGCCCATATTGTGGGCCAAAAACACCGCCGGCAGCATGACTCGCTGGGCCACGATCTGTGTAATCAACTGCAGTGGTTGCCTCATGGCTTTCCTAGAAAGCCCCCGGCTACGTCACAGAGCAGCTGCTATGACAACATGAGTCGAAATTTCCAAAAATGTGATCGAGCCAGTGGCAGGCAAATGCTCCATTATCGATTCGAAAGCGCACGACTGAGTCAGCGCCGTGCGGTTGCTCCCTTTATCTAGGAACACTGTATCTTGTAGTCGTGTATTTTGTATCTGCATTGGTATCTATGGAGTGTCTAGCGCAGTTCGTGAAATTTCGCGTAATTTCATCATGACAAATATGGGCTGGCGGTTGTCTTGTGACGTCTTCTTTTTTTTAATATATTGTATAAACATAATGTATTTGTTAAACGTTAATGAGTTCTGGATAAGCGATAAGGTAACGAGCCCCAGTCCAAAGGTCGCTACACAATCTGCAATCGGCACCGAGCGAGTCAATTCACGGAAATTCGAATATTCACACGGCCGGTGGCCTCACTTACCCGGCGGCAGCGATTGTGATGATCGTACATGTATCCACGCCTGCAGCCCATCCGCCGTGACTCGAACAGCATGCCCCTGCCCACGGCATCCAGGCTGTCGTTCCGGGCCGCCAAGCTCTCATTGCTGCTCAGCGCATTGAAGTAGATCACGCGCGCTGCACTGCCACGCAGCTGGCACAGCATCAGCGCTGCCCAGAGCACGCCCAGCACGGCCAGCCGCCACAGAAGTCCCGAGCGCAACAACATCTTCGTTCTCTTAAGCCAGCACGTCGCTGTCTGACCACCGTTTAGCACGCACCCAGAATCCAGATTCGATATGAACCTTGCTGCTGACACGCTTAATCTGTGTGCTCGCCTCTCCGTCGCGTCGCCTTTTGCGCTCCCTTCGCCCATTCGCCCATTCGCCCATTCGCTTATCAGTCTGTTTACAGTTAAGAAAACACTCTCTATGCGCTGTTCAGCTAATCCAAGCAGGCTGTATTAGCTTGCCCTCACACGACATGAAAGCTGCAAACTAAAACGAGAGTCGAGCAGAGCTACCGCTGATGCTCACTGTTTCCGAGCTAAATCGGAGTGCTGCTAGGGTGGGATGTCTGCTCGAAAGCTGCAACTGATTGGCTGTCATGAGTATTGAGCCTAGCAGCGCATCGTGCAGTCGGTTGGACTCGTTGGCCACGCTTCTGTTTTTGTCAGCGCTGATTAGAAATCCGCCGTCAGCTAAGACACTGCGCAATTGATTATTTCGATATGATTGCATACTTTGCGGCACATAATTCTATTCGATTCACAGCGAACTGCGGCGACAGCTGTTGCTGCAGCATTTGAAATTGGGGGACAGTACGGCTGAGAAAACAAACGCTGCTCTTCTGTTTATGCATGTTTTGTTGCTACACTTGTAATAAGTTTTTATTGGGAGTTAAGAAATTAATTAAGATACCATGTGAGAATGTTGCGAGCGAGCTCTACCGACTGCACAATACCCATTCGCGGTCATCGACAATGGAATCTCTTTTGGTAAAGTAGTTGGAAAGGAGTCTGCAGTAACTTAAGTTTTGCGCTTTACAGTCAAATCATTGCCTGATATATAAGTATATACTTTTATAATATTCTATAGCTCTAACAGACCTCACAATCATTCATAAGATATAAGATATGTCTTTTACATTCGCCACGCCCCTAATGATCGTGACATACATGTATAAGATTCCCCTAACATCTTTAGTTAGAGTCGCAAAATAGCTGTCGAATTTTTAATTGTATGCCACGCCTACTATCTAGTACTATCAACCTTTTGAGCGAATTAAAAAAAAAAAAAAAAAAAAAAAAAAACAGAATATTATATTTTCCGGATATTTGTCCGATTTGAGAAGCACTTAATATTGAAATATTCACATTCTATATAGACGAATGTACCCATGGGAATATACATACCAAATTTAAAGTATCTAGCCCCATTGGTGACGAAATGGTTTTCGTTCATATGAACGGGCGAATGAACGGACAGACAGACAGCAAAACGGACATTGAATTTCACTTTGAGAATGTGTTGAAAAGTCACTTAAATTATAATGTCTAATAAAAAGCTTTGTTTTGCACATATTGTTGCCCAGTGGTATAAATTGTATTTCATTCGTAATAATAATACTAATATACTAGTTGGGTAGTATATGTATATATAGCTAGCTATGTAGAGGGTATACATGAAATATGTTTCTGCCTCGAACGGGTTGAGTTTCTTTTGATTTGAGGACTGAAGAAGAAGAGCATTTGATCATAGATATCTCTGCATAGCATAGAAATTTTCTGGCAATCATATACAATATGTAGATATTTAACACAGTTGAAAAATCTGAAAGCCTTTTGACACGTTAGATTTTAAGAAAGTTGGAATTTATCTCAGCATCTGAACTAAATAGAACATCATAGCAATGTTGCTATCTAGGGATATAGGCTTAAGAACATTGCAGTGTAAGATTATCTGCGAGAGATTGAGTCAACTATAATATAAATAAGAGCATTAAATCTTGGCATATCTATAATGTAAGACTCTTTCTGACTTGTGACCTTATTTAGTAATTATAATGACAGCCAAGCTTAGATTATTATACCCTGAACCCATTGAAAATGGGAAATCAGGGTATAATGGTTTTGTTGAAATGTATGTAACAGGCAGAAGGAGGCGTGGCAGACCCCACA